AGTACATGTCAGTCGTACATTGTCCGTATTTTTCCTACTTGCCACACAGTGGCAAAAACTTTTTTTCACCCTTAAGTTTATTTATTCCTTCCTTGAGAGATAGAAAGAGCCAGAGACAGGAAGGCAGGTACCTTCCAGCAGGGTATCCATGCTACTGTAATAACCTCTCCATCCTGCAAGTCTAGCCAGCCCAGATCACGGGCACACAAGCCACCACCCAGCATGTAGAGGGAAGTCCCAGGATGTGAGCCCAGAACCTTCCCATATGGCTCCTGTTGTGTTACTGCTGCACCACTGCCCAGCCCCGGCACCACTTACTGGGGCTCAGTTTCCTAGTAAAGAGGTTCCTGTAAGAAAATACAACCCCCAACACAGATTATCTTTATTTAGTCAAGTATCCAGAAAGGAACTGAAAAAATAATCCAGAGAATAAAAAAAAGTGCACTATAGAGGACCAACAGATGGTGTAATGGCTACGTCGCTGGACTCCCATGTACTCGACCATGGTCTGAGTCCCAGACCCAATGGCTTAAATTCACGCCAGGTACATGTGTGTGCATGCCCAAAATCCCGAGAGGAGAATGGAGGAGAAGGGATTGTGGCATGGCCATCCCCCCTGGGGGGTGATTTCTCACTTTCTATCTCTCTGTCTCTTTCTGTCTTTCTGCCAAGTGCACGCGCCCTATAGCAAAAACTTCTCAAAAAAAAAAAAAAGTGAACTATGTTTTGTGTTATACAGGTAGGGAGAAGGCAATTTTTTTTAATTGAAGTTAATCTAAATGATAAAACCTTAAAACCAAATAAACTTAATAATCTTCTTTCCCATGTTTCCCAAACTTCAGTTGTTCTTATTTTGTCTTCACAATTTTTGTCATATTTACATAACACCTTTACAATGGGGGGGGGGGACAGGGGGAGGAGTCTTCCAAAAGTTTATGGAAAGTGCATATTATTTAAAAATTATGTGCGAATTTTAAAAATATTTTGCATCAAAATAAACTCATTCTTAATTTCATGTTTTCCACTTACTTTCGGAAGTTCCTTTAAGTATTGTTTATTTAACATTTTCTTTTCAGTTTCTCTCTAAGGTGATCATATCTATGAATTCAGGTGTTTCAGGGTTAACTATACATGTTTAATCATTCTGCCTCAAGGATCCCCCAAGCAACTTCCCATTGACACTGAGGCAATGTGTTAAGCATGTTAAGAAATGTGTTTTATGGTCTTATTTATGAGGCTGGTAAGCAGTCGATGGATTTGAAAATCAGTCATGCAGAACGGTTCTGGGCCTGATGGTGTGCGCCATAATGCACAATTTACAAATACAATTTCTAAGATGCTGGAAGTGACCTATCCCTCCAACTACTCATTCTGTGTTGTTGTTTTTTCCAGTCTAATATGGCTCAACACCCTGCCTTGTATGTCCATTCATCCAACAACGTTCAGTGAGTACCAGCTGTGTGTCAGGGCCGCCTAGGGCTGCAGCAGTGAGAGAACCAACCATCCTTGACATCATAAGGCTTACACTGTATTAAGTCTTTGTAACATCCTAAGCATTTATCATGTTACACTTTCTGTCAACTAAATTCCTAGAGGATAAGATCTGGCTTCCATTTTGGCTCCTTCACAGCCCCTAAAAGAGCATTTTACACTGTTAAATCAATAAGTGATTGAATGGGGCCAGCAGGTGGCGTGGTGGTTAAGGCACTGGACTCTCCCGTGGCAGACTGCAGTCTGAGTACCGGACCAGGCAGCTTGATTTCTTACTTTCTCTCTCTTTCTCTTTCTATGTCTCTTTATGGGGAATGTGTGTACCCTGTAGCAAATTTAAAATAATAAATAAATAAAATGAAATAAATAGTCTTAAAAAAAAAAAGTAAGTGATTGAACAATGAAAGAAGTACAAGGTCTCTAGTTGGTTTGTTTTTGACCCTAAAAACAACACATCATAATTACTTCCTGTTTTCCCATTTTTTCACTCCATCTTTTCAGTTTTCAATTTTTATGATTTCGAATTACAAAATACTAAAGCTAAGCAAAGACAATTTCCTTGTAGTGAAAGGAAACTAACCGCTGATGAAGAAAAGAGTGAATGTTTCATCTGCTGCACTCCAAGTACATGATCTAAAGTGCTGCAGTAGTTCTCCGTTAAAGTGACCCCATTTGACCAAGTTCAGCTTTGCATGAATTGATGAGATTTGACCACGTTCTGGTTTTGCATGGATTCTTTCTTCCTTGACTCACAGCTATTACCTTTCTCCTCCTGTATTTTGCTTACCTCGTACAAAAGAAATAGATGATACTGGTCTATTCAAATTCTGTGTAAAGATTAATCCTATAAAACAGGTAGGATAAGGCTTCTAAGGCTTTACCTATCAGGTCTCGCTATTTCTTTTTGTGGAACTTTTCTGCCCTCACATAAAATCAGAGGGAATTTCACAGGGTTCCAAAGCCCTGGCTTAGTTTCCGTTCTGCCTTTGAGCCTGTTGCTCAAGGTCACAAACATTTTTGGTAGCAAAGGTAAATTCTGTTCTCAGTGCCCCCCAGCCCAATTTACTTGTGTCATCTGCCTTCCCCAAAACATGAAAGTTGTTAACTGTTCCCAAGAGAGAAACATGCAAAACTTGTGAACTTTATTACATTGGGTACTTTTTCTTCTCTTTTTTACATGGGGAAAAAAGTAATGAGATTTTCCAGGGATAAAAAGTTTAAAGCTTACAAGAGTAGGGGGTGGACAGTGGCACAGAGGTAACACAACACTCTGAGCTGTCCTACATAGAACGATTCTGGTTCGGGTCCAGAGACCTCTCTCAACACACTAGGCTCACGGGTGTTGGTGATACTGGGCTGGCAGAAGCTGGGGGTGGATCACAGCATGAGAGAAACTGTTGCGGTGCTGTCTCTCAATCTCTCTCACACTTGTAGGAAAAAAAAACTGGGGGGTCAGCAGGTGGCATAGTTGTTACGTTACTGGACTCCCAAATGGCCAAATGAAGTTGGAATCCTGGACCCTGTGGCTTGAAAATCATGCAGGCACATGTACGTGGGTGCCTGAGATCCCAGGAGAATGGAGGAGAAGGGGTTGCAGCATGGCCAACTCCCCGTGATTTCTTCCTTTCTTTTTCACTGTCTCTGTCTCTCATTCTCTTTCTCTCCAGTGAGTGCACATGTCCTATGACAAAATCCTCTAAAAGAAAGAAAGAAAGAAAGAAAGAAACTTAAAAAACAAAAAAAGCTTAAAAGTTTAGTTTAGAACCAAAACATGGCAGTAATGGGGACTTTTTTTTTTTTTTTTCTGGAGTCTTTGTTACCTTTCAATTCAATTTTTAGTATCTGGTCAGAACTATTATACTGCTTGAATCATGAGACCAAAGTCAGCTTAAGCTTTTTCTTTCTTTCTTTCTTTTTGCTCTGAATGCAAGCGACCATGGCTGGTAGTTTAAGAACTGATCAATCCGACCTTCAGATAGTTATTTATGTACTATTTCTCTGGCTTTCTTACTCCTCTCACTGATATAAATAGTGTCTTCCGGGTAACTTAACTCTGTCTCTAGTAAAATGCTGCAATGCAGCTGACACGCTGGTGATAGGACTGCAAATTACGTGTGAGGGCATTTTGCTCCCGGTGCACTTCAGCCTGAAGTGCAGGTTTATTTCTGTTCTCCACGGGCTTGGCTGGCCAGTGAGAAAACAAAGCATTACCTGGTGCCTTTGGCCATCTGGGTTCATAGGCATTCCAAGACAACACTTCTAATTTCATGATTAGGACAAATAGCAATGACCCTCCCAAACACACACACACACACACACAATAACAAAGAACTCTCCCTTTTACTTATTTTTTTAGATTTTTGCCATAGGGTGTACGTACTTGCCAGAGAGAGAGAAAAAATGAGAAATCACCTCTACCCCGGGGGGGGTAAGGGGAGTGGGGGCACAATGGCCACTCAGCAATCCCTTTCCCTCCATTCTCCCCTCATGATTTTGAACACACACACACACACATGCACGCACACACACACACATGCTAAACGTGTTTTAGAAGCCTCTGGGTCTAGGACTAGAACTATAGAGCCAGCCTCGTGGGATCCAACACCTAGCTACCATGCCACCTGCTAGCCCTCTAGTCACTTTTACAGTGGTTATTAACTAACTCAGAATAGAGATTCTGATGGATGAAGATGCTGATTTCTCTAAATTCTTCATATATTTATTACCCAGAATCATTGACTCACTTTTTCAATATGGTATGGTAAAGTCTAGGAGTCAGGTAAAACCATTACTACTGTAATATACTCTTTAAAGTCACCATCAATCAAAATTTTATCAATCCTTTGAGTACTTCAGTCACTGAGAAATTACTTCAGAATCTAACCCGTAAGTATCAAGTTATCTACTGAGAAGTTTCTAAAATAAGTATCCATGCAGTCTTTTCCTTCTAAACCTTTTAACTTGCATAGGAATATATAAGAATAATGTGGGAACCAGCTGATGGCATAATGGTTATGTCTCTGAACTCCCATGTAGTCGACTGTGGTTCGAGTCCCAGACCTGGTGACTTAAAACTCACACTGCGCACGTGTGCATGTGTGCCCAGAATCCTGAGAGGAGAATAGAGGAGATGTGATTTGGTGTGGCCATCCTCCCTGGAGGGTGATTTCTCACTTTCTGTCTCTCTCTCTCTCTCTCTCTGTCTCTCCTGTAAGCACACTTATCCTATAGCAAAAATCTCTCCCCCCAGTAAAAGAATTAAAGTTAATGATTATGCCAACAAGGTACAGATAAGACTTACTTTAAGAAGTAGACATTTTTATTAGAAGAAGTATTTGAAGAAGGCTTCTTCTATTTTTTTTTTTTAACCTTATTTTACTTTGTAAAGTTTGCTACAGGGTGCATGTACTCGTGGCAGGGGTGGGGGAGTGGGTGGAGGGATGAGAAAGCACCCCTCCATGGGGAATGGATACGGCACAATCCCTTCTCCTCCATTCTCCTCTTGGAATTTTGGGCATGTATGCACATGTTCCTGGCATGTTTTGGGGTCTGGAATTTGAACCGTGCAGTTGATTATGCGGGATCCAGTCAGGTGGCCTGAGCCTGAGAAGCTATCTCCTTGTCAAGGTGAATAAAACAGTTAAAGGTTGGATTTTCAATGCAAAAAAAAAAAAAAAAAAAAAAAGTTTGACTTTGATGAAAATAAAGGACAACTGAAGTTCTTCAACCAATGTACCTTATTAAAGCAGTTGTTTTAAGACAATGTGTTTGACAGCAGTCACCAAGGCATATAGAATAAAGACTGAACACATGAGGCCCATCTAGCAATTCCTGTATTTAAGAAACTGTTAGCAATTTTCATTATGAACGCTCCTTTCTCCTGGGTGGTAAAAATGTCAGTTTCCTGGGGTTCAGTCAATACCACGATGCTGAGGCACTGAGTGTTTGGCAGTGCTGGAAACTTATGGTTGGTCTCAGTCCACATAGATCGCTGGTAATCCCTTGTTCTCATACACGGTGGGGGGTGTCTTAGTCCATTCTGGATGTTATAACAAAATATGGGTTATTTTTTGTTTGTTAAGTTTCTTCCTTCCTTTCATGAGAGAGAGACAGAGAGGGAGAGAGAGCCAAACACCTTTGACAGGTCTTCATACTACAATTCACCTCCAGTCTCAGAAGACTTGCACCACAGACACACACACACATGTACCTGGGATGCAAACTGGGACCTTCCCCGTGTGGGTCCAGTTGTGTCACCACCTGGCCCTATTTTTCATGGCTTTGAAGGCTGAGAAGTTCAAGACCAAGATTCCACCAGATGGGTGTCTAGCGAAGGCTCGTTCCTCATACAGAATGGTTTCTCCTTCATTCACACCTGGTGGAAGAGACAAACAAGCTCCCATGGGTCTCCTTCATAAGGGCACTAATCTCATTCATGACAGTTTCATCATCATGATCTAGTTGCTTCGCAATGGCCCCAAATGTTAATACCATCACCCTGGAGGTTAGGGCTTCAGTATATGAAGTAGGGAGAGGAGCAGGGACAAAAACACTCAGATATAGCAGAAGGCTCATGGGCCCATTTTAGGGCTTTCCTGAGGTGCATGGGATATCATTCTCCTGCTTCCCCTGGGAGATGCCTGAAAGGTTTCAGTCATTTCTCCCACATACCCATTGCTTTCTTTTTGTAAAACATTATTTTATAAAACATTATTTTATTTATTTACTTATTTAATTTGACCAGAGAGAGAAAGAAAGAAAGAAAGAAAGAAAGAAAGCAAGCAAGCAAGCAAGCAAGCAACCTGCCAGGTCTGGGACTTGAACCACGGTTGGCCATGTGAGAGACCAGTACCTGTAACCACATGGCACCTGCTGGCCCCCTACATACTCATCTCTATTACACAGGGAATTTGTGAGACCAGGACATGGGTTATCTCTGTTATGGATTCCCTCCACCAAAAGTGGGAGTTAGTTATGTTGCTTATTCCTCCAGGGTTCAGTCTGGAAGGAGACTCGTAAGTGCCCCTTTCTCATCCTCTGGGGCTTTCCTTCCAATTCTCCCTCACCTAGTCCTCAAGAACCTTTTCTGAGCAGAGAGAGTCCTTTCTCCTACATCACCACAGATTTGCTGTGATTGGAACCCTGGGCCCCCTGAGACCTAAGGCTTTTTCACTCCTATTCTCCATTATCATTTCTTCTCCAAGTCAGTGCTACTGACTGAATGGAAGATAGAATAAAATGTAGAATTGGATGTAGGATCCTTGATTAATACCTCAAAATATTACCACACCAGTGAAGAGGCTGTTGCAGTAATGAAGACGTAAGGGTTGAGTGGCACAAGCATGGAGATGAAAGAGGCTTAAACCAAAAACACAGTGAAGGAAGAAAATGCGAGATCTTGTCTGTGGAATAAACTCAGAGCCAGAGGTGGGAGGAAATGAACTTGAGGTTTTAATGAGAGGTAACGTCAGCTGCCCTTGGACATACTCCCATGGCTCATATGCCCCCTTCCCCTTTCCCTTCTTCAACACTAATCACCAGGTCAACTGAGAGTTCTTTGAATCCATATCCCTCCTCCCCAAAGCCCCCATCACTACTCTTGTTCATGCCGACGACCTCTCTCCTAGGGATCATCTACTGCATCGGACTCCTTAGTTCTCTCTTTTTGCTTCTCTGGCTCCTCTAATTTATCTTTTATTCGGCCATGAACATTACCTTTCTAAAGCAAAAATCTGATCACATCAGCCAAAATTCTCTGGCTCAGCAGTGCCTGCAAAGCACAATCTAACTCCTACGCATGTGGCCTTCATCATGGGGCCCACGCCTGCCTGTCCACGCTCACCTAAGATGCCTTACCTAGGGCTTAGCTCTGGCCGAACAGGGAGGCAGCATGTGGAGCAGGGTAGAATATAGCGTCCTCACCCCGTGCACTTGGACGAGTTATTTAACTTGTCATTCCGTCCATAAATGTCATTAAGAAGACTAGATGAGAATATACTTTAAGAACGCACCTGCTACATAGTGAGAGCTATGTAAACGCTTGTTAAAGAAAACCAGTTCTCTGGATTGTCAAAATCTCTCCTATGCCAGTGAATCTCCACCTTCAGTTTCTTCGGCCCACTTTGGGGGCCCCTTCTTTCATTTGGCCAGTTTCTATTCTTCCTTCTATTTATAACAAGGGAAGTGCACACAGACCTGAGAGTGAGAGAGAGAGAGAGAGAGAGAGAGAGAGAGAGAAATAGGAGCACCCTCCACAGGGTCTGGTCCCACCTCAATCCCCTCCCTCCAGACCTTCATCACAGTGGATCCTGGGCACTGGCATCAGCGCCTGGTGTATTCCAGGCTACCTGGGCCAGAAATCGGGCTGTGGTTGAGATGTCAGATTCTCTTGAGCAGTGCGTTACCACTGAGCCAGAGAGCCACCACTACCTGTCCTTTTAGAAGGAGCTAGAATGTCAGGACCTCTGTGAAGCCTGCTACATGTAGTTCAGATCCTTATTAATTTTCCTTTTTTTGGTAAAGGTTGTGTAAACTCAGCAGACAGAGAGGGGGAGAGGAGAAAGCACTCCTTGTGGGGAGTGGTTACATAGCAATCCTTCTCCATTTCTCCCTCTTTTCAGGATTTTCGGCATGCATGTATACACACCTGGCATGCTTTTCCCACCACCACATCGGGATTTGAACTGGGCTATTGGCCATATTGGATCCTCCTGCTCCAACCACTAGGACATAGAGCCAGCCTTAACATTTTATTGTATTAAAATTTGTATTCATTTCCTATGACTGGGGTAACAAATTACCACGAACTGGGTGGTTTAAAACAACACACATTTGGACCAGCAGATGGCATAGTGGTTACGTTGCTGGACTCCCACATGGCCAATTGTAGTTTTCATCTCAGACCCAGCAGCTTAAAACTCATGCAAGGCATTTGGCGGTGTGCCCGAGATTCCAGGAGGAGAATGGAGAAGGGACTGCAGCTTGACCATTTCTCACTTTTCCTCTTACTGTCTGTCCCTCTCTCTGGCAAGGGCAGGTGCCCCAAGGCAAAAGCCAAAATTCTCTGGCTCAGCAGTGCCTGCAAAGCACAATCTAACTCCTACGCATGTGGCCTTCATCATGGGGCCCACGCCTGCCTGTCCACGCTCACCTAAGATGCCTTACCTAGGGCTTAGCTCTGGCCGAACAGGGAGGCAGCATGTGGAGCAGGGTAGAATATAGCGTCCTCACCCCGTGCACTTGGACGAGTTATTTAACTTGTCATTCCGTCCATAAATGTCATTAAGAAGACTAGATGAGAATATACTTTAAGAACGCACCTGCTACATAGTGAGAGCTATGTAAACGCTTGTTAAAGAAAACCAGTTCTCTGGATTGTCAAAATCTCTCCTATGCCAGTGAATCTCCACCTTCAGTTTCTTCGGCCCACTTTGGGGGCCCCTTCTTTCATTTGGCCAGTTTCTATTCTTCCTTCTATTTATAACAAGGGAAGTGCACACAGACCTGAGAGTGAGAGAGAGAGAGAGAGAGAGAGAGAGAGAGAGAGAGAGAGAGAAATAGGAGCACCCTCCACAGGGTCTGGTCCCACCTCAATCCCCTCCCTCCAGACCTTCATCACAGTGGATCCTGGGCACTGGCATCAGCGCCTGGTGTATTCCAGGCTACCTGGGCCAGAAATCGGGCTGTGGTTGAGATGTCAGATTCTCTTGAGCAGTGCGTTACCACTGAGCCAGAGAGCCACCACTACCTGTCCTTTTAGAAGGAGCTAGAATGTCAGGACCTCTGTGAAGCCTGCTACATGTAGTTCAGATCCTTATTAATTTTCCTTTTTTTGGTAAAGGTTGTGTAAACTCAGCAGACAGAGAGGGGGAGAGGAGAAAGCACTCCTTGTGGGGAGTGGTTACATAGCAATCCTTCTCCATTTCTCCCTCTTTTCAGGATTTTCGGCATGCATGTATACACACCTGGCATGCTTTTCCCACCACCACATCGGGATTTGAACTGGGCTATTGGCCATATTGGATCCTCCTGCTCCAACCACTAGGACATAGAGCCAGCCTTAACATTTTATTGTATTAAAATTTGTATTCATTTCCTATGACTGGGGTAACAAATTACCACGAACTGGGTGGTTTAAAACAACACACATTTGGACCAGCAGATGGCATAGTGGTTACGTTGCTGGACTCCCACATGGCCAATTGTAGTTTTCATCTCAGACCCAGCAGCTTAAAACTCATGCAAGGCATTTGGCGGTGTGCCCGAGATTCCAGGAGGAGAATGGAGAAGGGACTGCAGCTTGACCATTTCTCACTTTTCCTCTTACTGTCTGTCCCTCTCTCTGGCAAGGGCAGATGCCCCAAGGAAGGCAAACACACACACACACACACACACACTTATTCTCCCAAAGCTCTGGAGGCCCTTAAGTCTGAAATCCGTATCAAGGCAGAAATCACCGCCCCCACAGGCCAGGTGAGAATGTTCCCGGCCTCTAGCAGCTTGTGGTGGCTGCTGGCCGTCCTTGCTTGGGGGCCACATCATGCCACTCTCTCTCTCTGTGGTCACATCTCCTGCCTCTCTCATGAAGACACTGTGATTGCACTGAGAGCCCATGGGTAATTCTGGATACTCTTACTAGTGCAGTACCCTTAACACATCTGCAAGGTCTGGATGGCAAAATCTCATTTTGTATACTTAATGATGTACAGTGCATGAACGTCAATACGTACATTCAAAATAAAGTTATTTAAATAAATAATAATAAAAATAATAAAACCATAAAGGTGACATGGGTTCCAGGGAGGAGGGCCACTATTCATCTACTTCCTAACAGTTTATATGTGTGTTGGCCCTTTCTCCTTCGTATGACTACAGTCTATCATGGCGTGATCATACGTGCACAATAAATGCAATGCACATGCAGGCATAGTGGGAGGGGTGCAGGGCCTCAGCTCGCGTTCACTGGCAGGCCTTCTTAGCTCAGGCTTCATGTCTCCAGACCTGAGCTATTTCCTTCATGTGCTGATCTAAGACTGGAAGCATAGTTTACTCAAGAATTAGATCAACTTCTAGATTAGAAAAATGGAACAGCTAAGTCTGCCTCCATATCACTTCTTCCTTTGCATTTCAGTGAGGCAAAGTAACCAAACAATTCCTTTCAAACTCCATTAATCCAAACCGTGGGCAGAAGGGAGTGGAAAGGACGAGCCCTGGCAGCTCGCGGGCTTCTTTCATGGAACGTGAGAATGCAGAGTGGCCGAGTGACAAGTATGAGCTTTATGAAGAGTGCTGTCATCAGTCTGACCAGCTGGTGTGTTGCCATTCTGAAACTATTTATTTTCAATACGGTTTTCTTCGTAATTTAAGCTCCCAAATTCATGGCAATTGCTTCACTGACCATTTCTTCATCTCGAATCACTTCCGTGGAGCTTAGATTTTTCTGAAATGAGTGTGTTTCTCTTCCAGTGCTCTCAAACCACCGTCACATCCACCCTAAAGAATAGGTCTGAGGCAGGTGCCTGCCACTCACCTGAGGAGACATCTCAGTAGCTAAAATATTGGTTTCTTTTTTCTTTTCTTTTCTTTCTTTCTTTCTTCCTTCCTTCCTTTCTTTCTTTCTTTCTCAGCTGTGGGAATCTTAAGAGAAAAAAAATTGATTTGTAATTCATAATAATTAAAAGTAATAAAAAGTAAACAAGTAGATTACTTTGCACAGTCAATCTCTGAAACAGCGAACTGTCCACTATATTCTGTTTGTTTGTTTCTGTAGGCCTTTTCAACTGTGCAGGTTAGAGCCCCCAGACATTAAAATGCTGAAAAACCAGAGTCCAGAAATGCTTTCAACATTTATCTAGGTAGTTGCGCATTCAAAAAATTCCAGAGTTTGAGATCTTTTTTCTTTTACATGTGCTCTCTGCCGGTCCCTCCAGTGCAATCTTGAGCAACACTCCTTGCAGCCCTGCTACCATCACTTGTCTTCTAGTCATTCATACAGGTCTTGCTTTCTCCAAACAACAGAACTTGGTACTCATTCCCTGTGCTTAAAATGCTCAGCCTTCTCCTCTTCTTTTAGTTAAATTCTGTTTACCCTTTGGATCTTAGGTCATTCGTTCCTCTGAAAAGTTTTCCCAGTTCAGGGATCAGCAGTTAGTGTAATGGCTATGTCGCTGGACTCCCATGTAGTCGACTGTGGTTCAAGTCCCGGACCCGGTGACTTATACTCACGCCGGGCGCGTGTGCGTGCATGCCCAAGATCCTGAGAGGAGAATGGAGGAGAAGGGACTGCGGCGTGACCATCCCCCCTGGGGGGTGATTTCTTGCTTTCTGTTTCTCTCTGTCTTTCCGGCAAGCACGGGCGCCCTATAGCAAAAAACAAAAAAAAAAACCAAAAACTCTCAAAAAAAACCCGCTTTCCCAGTTCAGGTCAAATCCACTAAACTCTACCTTAGCACTCCACATCATTGACAGTTTCTGCATTTGTGTGACTTGATCGCCTGCCTCTTCCTCCAGACTGTACGAACCTCTGAGAGGGCAGGGCATGCCTCTGTTACTGCTGTATCACCAGGCCTCATCACTGTTTCTAGAACACAATAAACATGTAATAAATATTTAAAGGCTGAACAAATATGTCAGGGAATTTTGTGCTAGTTCTGTCTCTGTGTTGTCAAGCAAGTATTCAATTTCAAGGCCTTACCTTCCTCATCAGGAAGAATATGCCTCGTTCATCCCCCAAATTCTAGGCTATTTATAAAACCTGTCTTGAACATACAAGATCAAACTAGCTGAAGCTAGATAGCCACCCACTATTTGCTCTGTCCGCCCTACCTCTCCCCATGTAGAGAAACCACGGGCCTAACCAAGAAATTAGAGTTACTCTTGGCCTTTGCCTCTTGCCCCGATGCTACTGCCTTGGTTCCGGCTTTCTTCACCTCTTATTTTACAAATTGCTAGTGCTCCCTTCATGGACAAACCTGGGTAGATCTCTCCTCTTCTAGTCCATCTGTGATGCTGCAGAAAGCAGTCTAACCTCCTGGGCTGATCACGCTACACCTCTGCTTCAACACTCACAGTGGCTCCCAGTGGGACTCTGGGACGACTCAGCTCTGGAGAAAATATCCTTCCACTGTTCCTGCCTTACCTCTTGTTCTCGTCTGCAGAATCCACACTGTACTCAAAACTGCTTAGGGGCCCCAACAGACTCTGAAGAACAGACGCTGTTCTTCCAGGTCCCCCTGTCTCTGCATGTAGTTCTCTGCCCAGAAAACTCTTCCTCTCCCCTCCCCACATTTGCAAAATCCTGTCTATCTTTCAGAGTCAGCTGCAATATGACTTGAATGTGGTGCCTGCCTTGACCAGTCCCCAGGCTGAATTTGTCACTTACTGTCTGTATTCCCACGGAACATTCTGCTAGAACCATCATAACCACACTGATCATGGCAAGATGTGTTCTCAGCAGGACATTGTGTTTTGAAGCATGGGCCTTAAAGTCAGATTGCCTTCAAAACCCAATTCTGCAATTTATTACAGCTGTAGAATTTAATAATCCAGAGAGTTAATTCCCTAATGTTGGAAGTGGGTAACATAACTAATTCACTGGGCTGTTTAAGGATTCACTGAGAGAATGTGTTTAATGACAAGGCCTGGCCCACCATTCTCCATAATCAGTGGCAATTATTATTGGACTTGAAGGTGTCCACTGTAGACTCAGGACTCCAGTTGGTCCATCCTTCTGTGCCGATGACTGGCACATGATGCTTAAGATGTGTAAGTGAAGTAGTATCCGCAGTGTCCTTTCCTTGCAGCAAGACAAGGAGCTTATTCACTTTACCATTAACAAAGGAATTTTACTGAAATGCCCCAAAGGCCACTGATCTATGACATACTCCAAAGCATATTCATCTTTCCCTTTGTTAGACTAATCCTGAACTTACTGGGCTAACCATTCAAAATCGCAATTTGAAGTACTGCTTTCTGCTAAATAATCTAGTTATACTCTTAAGCGTCTTTACTGCACACCTATCCATTTTGACTTGACACAGCCATCTGTGGAACACAGATGACATTCTTCTTTCTCAAACGAGAAAACAACACTCATGTGCACACAACTTTTGTGTGAGGCACTGTTGTGTGGGCGTTTTAAATCCACAATGTGCCTCCTAACCTGACATTTTGTAACATCACAGTGGGTGGGTGGTCGAGCTCATTAAAACCACTGCAAAATCCCAGCGCAGTGTTCCGGCCAGGGCATCGCATCAGCCCTCCAGTCTGAGTTCCTGGAAGGCAAGGTTATTTCCTGCTTCCTGTGCAGCGATCACAGGATGCAGACTCTCAGGGTGCTGACTGCGTAGTAAATTTCCTCTGCTGTCCCTGTGATTAGCTTCCACTAGAGGAGCAGAGGGCAAACTACGTGCACACTGACACCGACAGTTTTAAAAACCTTTAACATGGGGAAAGCACTCTAACCCTCGGCACATCAAACTTTTCCTCTGTGGGTCCTCCCCTGTGCGCTTGTCCTCGGTGTCCCATCGCTCCTTCTAGGGTCTTTGACAACGACAGAACGAGGGGTGGAGAGATGGCTTGCTCCCTTCCATTTACAAGGGCGGGTCATCCTTGGGGCCAAGCCGGCCGCGCAAGGACGCCCTCGGGGTCCCTTCCCCCGGGAGACCCCATCGCCTACGGAGAGAAGCCAGCGTGGGGCTAGGTTGGCTGAGACGCCGCGGAGGCGCAGAGCCTCACGCCCCCTTCGCAGGAACCGCAAGGGCTGCGGCTCTTTGTTGCTGCCACACCGGAAA